AATTTAACTAAAGAATTTTATCCTTGTTGTTTTATTGTATTTTAATTATATTGAATTTGATCACAATATCTTTATGCCATTTGTTTTATACAGTAATTTTATAATATTTTACACCATTTTCCTTTTATACAGTTTTATATTGTTGCCTTTTACATATTGTTTTACCGATGTGAATGTGAATGACCTTTGGTGTAGCCATTAATCAACAGAAACAGAATGTAGATTTTATAACAGTTGATGAAACTAAGGAAAATAAGTTTTTTCCCCAATATTAATGAACCTCTTCACAGCAAGAAGCCAAACTGAAAATCATTGTGCTATTCTGATGACATTTATCACACCCTATGGGTTTTTAAAAAAGTTTTCAACACTTGCAGTTTGGAATCACAACAGGTTCTGAAATCTTTAAAGGAAGATGACAGACGCTCCTCCATAGGGATATTAAAAGAGTTGTTGTCTTTTCTGATGATGTCCCAATAGATGGAATCTAAATCAATGAAATGAATGAGAGAGATCAGGACAAAACCACTACGAATCAGGATTTCTGTTGTGCCTCCTCAAGAACTCTCATTGTTTACCACTTTAGGTTCTTGTGGGTTTTTTCGGGCTATAGAGCCATGTTCTAGAGGCATTTCTCCTCACGTTTCGCCTGCATCTATGGCAAGCATCCTCAGAGGTAGTGAGGTCTGTTGGAACTAGGAAATGGGTTTATATATCTGTGAAATGACCCCACCTCAGCCATTCCACAGATATATAAACCCATTGTCCTAATTCCAACAGACCTCACTACCTCTGAGGATGCTTGCCATAGATGCAGGCGAAACGTCAGGAGAAATGCCTCTAGAACATGGCTCTATAGCCCGAAAAAACCCACAAGAACCTAGTGATTCCAGCCATGAAAGCTTTTGACGTTTACCACTTTGTTTACCCTTTTAGTTAGAGGAATTTAGTATTTTGTGTATAGGTTTTTTTTTTGGGGGGGGGGTCAGTCTAGATAGACTCTTTCCCTTTGAAGGCTCTATCACCCTGCCACTTTAAGAATCCCCTCAAAGGTAGAACCTCAGGGAAGGCACTTCTGGTTCCTGGAGGAGTCAGCCTTTTTGGTGATTGGAAGGTGAAGAGAGAGGAAGGCCGGAAAGTCTACAAAATAGCTCGTCCAGTTGGAGCTGTATTCAAGTCCAGTCAGAGTTAAATATGGAGATCAATTTTAAAATCATAGAATCAAAGAGTTGGAAGAGACCTCATGGGCCATCCAGTCCAACCCCCTGCCAAGAAGCAGGAATATTGCATTCAAATCACCCCTGACAGATGGCCATCCAGCCTCTGTTTAAAAGCTTCCAAAGTAGGAGCCTCCACCACACTCCGGGGCAGAGAGTTCCACTGCTGAACGGCTCTCACAGTCAGGAAGTTCTTCCTCATGTTCAGATGGAAATCTCCTCTCTTGTAGACAGTTGAACACCATACAAGAAAGAGACAATAAAAAGAAATAAAGATTCAAGAGCCTCAGTTTGGCCAGAACTGTGTCTATCTCTCAAATACTTTACCTCTCCTCATAAAGAGTTTGTAGTGAGACTCAGGAGGAGAGAAAATCTAAAATTCTTGTCAGTTAATAAATTCTTGTTTGATTCAACTATATAGTCTCCGATCTGTTCCCTGCACAGCCAGTTCACCTTCCAAGTATTTAAGATAGCATGGGGGCAGAACAGTTTCAGTTAAACTAATGTGTGTTGAAATCACTAGTTAACTTTACAGAACACAGACACTCTAGGAGTAAGGAACTTATCTAGGTTGACATTTGAATGACATCTCCAAGAGGCACAACTACTAAATCCATTCTCTGCATTTCATTGCATCCAGGTTTGAATATAAAATCGGAAGGTTTTCTGTACAACTGTAAAATATATGATACCTGGTGCCCAATGCTTAGAAGCCATATAACATTTCTTCAGACCCACAATTGTTTATGCAAAGAGGTATGGTATAGGTAGGAAACCTAGTTTTGTGCATATAGTCACCAGACGAATTCTGCTTCAAGACACTCACCATGGACTTGATGCTGGCAAGTCACTCTGTAGTGTTGTAGCAGATGCCCCTCTCACTTGGTCCATAAGCTGCCAGTTCCTCTTAGTAAATATTATACATAAACAATGAGCACCTCTTATCTGGTCATCCAGATACCTTTGTGGCCCACATTAATTTCATGATAGATTTCCATGTAGTAATATGATACTAACATTTGATGAAGTGATAAATTTATAACTTAAATTTTAAGTTTAACTCTTATCACATTTATTGTAGAGAAATCAGGGAAAGAACTATGTGTTAAAGTTGGACAGTAATCCAGATATAAGTTAATATATCTACGTTAATATAACTTAGATTCCTGAGAATATACATGAATATATATTAACGTACAGTATATACTTAGGTTAGGTTCTTCTTCCTCACTGATGTAGATTGATTGAATTGAATTCCTAAACTGTACTTGAATTTTGGTTTTATTTGCTTAAATGTAACATTACAACTTAAGAGCCCTGTATTATGTGTACTTTCATTACTTGTACAGTTGTTATTTATGCAGGATTTTCTTCTGCATTTTTACTCCGATAGGTAAACACTGTTTTTGGCTGAATATCTACAGTAGGCATTTCTTTATATGTTAGGCTAATAAATGAAAACCTTCATTAGTCTAAAAGAAAAAAATTAAAGTAGTATATTAAAATAGCTTGATTCAGGGTCACCGTTAAGATCTCATGGATGGGAAAATAGCAGTACATTTATTTTCTCCTAACTTTAGAGTTCTGCAAGGCTGATACTTTTCTCTTGAATCTCAACAGTCCTGTTTGGTATCGTCTGGTTAACATTATGTCTAAGTTCATTACAGGGTGATGTTTCCTGGAATGTTTAGATAATTCTCAGAAGACCTCAGAAAAGTTCTTTCAGCTAGATTCAGTTTGTCAGGTTTTGTCTCTGTCATTTTTGTTCCTCAACTTACTAGGTTTCAAAAAGAGGAGAAAGAAAAAAAAACTTCAGAGTCTGAAATGAAAGTTCTTCAACATGATTAGTGTTGGAAGATTAAAAAACACATATATTTTCTAAATTCATATGAGTGAAGATGCAAAGCTTGAAAGTGTCTTCTACTTTAATTTTAGCTGTTGTTTTTCTGTTCTGTTCCAAGATCTCAACTTGGTAAATACAATGAAGTGTTAGAGGAAAACTGGATAACAATATAGTTATATGTGGATGGGTGGGCTGGAATTGTTATATAATATTAAAGTGATCCCTTTCGGTTTCAAAAATTCTAATGTGTTACATTTTATGTGTCTTTAAAGTAAAGCAGTTGTGAACTTTTTTCTCATTCTGGTATATGTTGTATATTTCTGTGTGGGGCAGAGTGCCTTTTGAAACGTTAGGAATCAGCTTGTTTTTGAACATCTTTAAAAATGCCACAAAATGTTAAATTTAGCGTAATAGCAGAATGAAATAAAAAATAATTACAGTATTTGGCACTGTGGCTTAAACTTTAATGGATTCAAACTCACTTTAGAGTGATATCGTGAGTTGACTGAGATGGATATCCTTGAGTAAAGAGGGTGGTATCCAAGAACTACTTAGGCTTGTATGATCATATGCTTCTTTTATTAAAAGTAAGGACTACTATTTATGCTGCTTACTTCCATCTAAGTATACTTAGCATTTCAGCCTTAGATTTTCATTTCATTTTGAATGGACAGTACTGTCTTGTGATTTCTTGAACTTGTTTGCATAGTTGTATTTACTGTTAATAGTTTCAGAAAGGAGGGCTGAAACATTGTTCTTTTTATAGGATAGCTATCATCTCCATTTCTCCCATTCAAACTTTGGAGTTCCTATTCCGGAAGAAGTGCTGAAGTCATAGTATGGATCATAACTCTAGTGTAGAGATGAGGAGATTTACTCTTTGACATCTGCTGTAGTTCTCATCTGCATTGTATATTACAATAATGTAATCTGGTTGTTTGGGTCAGCAGCAAAGAATCTGGACATGGATAAAATTATGGCATTCAGTTACCATAATTCTTTGTAAAGGCTGAAATATGTTCATAAGTGTTCTCTAATATCTTATTTAGTTTGGACTTTTGTACTTGTGTAACTAGTAATACAAACATTAAAGATTAATAACTTAGTAGCAAACTGCTAGAGTACTGAAAAAATGACAAAATTCAATACAAGTTGAGTGTCATAGAATCATAGAGTTGGAAGAGACCTCATGGGCCATCCAGTCCAACCCCCTGCCAAGAAGCAGGAAAATAGCATTACAGCACCCCCTACAGATGGCCATCCAGATGTCCCTTTTTTGTAATTCCAAATTCCAAAATATTCCAAAATCCAAAATTTTCCAGAGGGGTGACAGAAATAGTGACAGCTTTGCTTTCTGGTGGTTTGGTATACACAGACTTTGTTTCATACCCATTTTTTAATTTTTTTTATATAAAATGACCTTCAGACAAAGTATATAAGGTGCAATGCATTTCTTGTTTAAACCCAGCTTGCATCTCTTATGTATGTATATGCAAATGCAGGAATCCTGGGATTTTTTTGGGGGGGGGGGTGGAATTTACTATCCCAAATACTTCTGGCCCCGGGCTGGGATGAAATAAGGGATGTTCAACCCATATTGGAAACAATTATGTTTGCAGCACACCAATGGACTACAGAGCCAACATCTCTAGTTGGGACACAGTTTAAGAAACCTGATGCAACTAGTAATTTTGATTTCAGAAGAATTTCTCCTGAAGTTTTAAAAAGGGTTTTTAATACAATAATGATTGAAAAGTAAGAGATTATGCAAAGTCTTCAATCCTATAATTCCTTGTTTAAAAAAAACAGTGGCCAGATATTAGTTATCAGTTGAAAAAATGTAACTTTTAATATATTTCATTTGAAGTCTGAAGGTCTGAACGTTTGTTACCAATCTGCAGTTGAGTTCTATAATTTTGGGGCATCTTTATGTTTTTTAGATTCAAGTCAGTCTGAAAGTCCAAGCCAGCCAAGCGAAGCTGATATTAAGGACCAGCCAGAAAATGGTGAGTTTGTACCTGTCTGTATTTGTTTGAATAGTTTTCACTTTAAATCATAACCTTAGGACAATTTTGGTATTCCCAAAGCAGGGAACTCAACAGATTGCTTTAATCTGGCTATACTTTGCAAAGGTAGATCAGGAAGAATCCACAAACTCCAGGTACAAAATCATACTTCTTTCTGAATCAGGGAAGAGCGGAGTGCTATCCACAGGCTGCAAATGGCCCCTTAGGCCTGCTTTCTGGCCTCCCACAGACCTATGGAGGTTAAAAAAGGAAAAACAGTTCTTCCCATATGTTCCCAGATGCCTTCTAGGGGTGTAATGGGGCATTTGTGCCACATCCCCTGTACCCAGTGTTGCCATTTTAGAGCCAGGAATAATTTGAGAAACTCTGGACTAGAAGATAATGGCTGGCATACGTGTTACTAGAGAACTGTAGAAAACCTTAATGGGAGATATTTTTATATTTTACTTGGTCTCAAAATCATTGAAGCCAGTGAAGAGAGTGCTGACACTATCTTTTTGTCTCCATGGATTTCAACCTGGGGATTAATAATATGCTTCACTACTTCATATGATCATTCTAGGATGTTCTGCTGGGACTGGAGAATGAAGCAGGACTTCCCTCTGCCATTTTGGAACATTGGTTCCAAATTGTGTTCTCTATTGAAAAGACCTTTTTATATGATTTTACAAATTCAACATTTAAAAAGAACAACATTTAGGTTTGCATCTGCTTTTCAGGAGGAGAATAAACGGTTAATCTAGAAACATGCAAAATGAAAAATTGTGAATTGTAGTCCTGAAATAGTCTGAACAATCACATATTGCAGTGCTGATAGTTTTAATTGTAAATTTACGATAACTTTTTAATTTATGAAATTGCTCACATTTAAATGTCAATCATATAGAGACCAGTTAGATATGATCTCACTAACATTCCTAGTGAATATGCAGTGGAAGTGAAGAACAGATTTAAAGGATTAGATTTAGTAAATAGAGTCCCAGAAGAACTATGGACAGAAGTCCACGACATTGTTCAGGAGGCGGCAACAAAGTACGTCCCAAAGAAAAAGAAAACCAAGAAGGCAAAATGGTTGTCTGCTGAGACACTGGAAGTAGCCCAAGAAAGGAGAAAAGCCAAAGTAAACAGTGATAGGAGGAGATATGCCCAATTAAATGCGCAATTCCAGAGGTTTGACAGAAGAGATAAGGAACTATTTTTAAACAAGCAATGCATGGAAGTGGAAGAAGACAACAGGAAAGGAAGGATAAGAGACCTCTTCCATAAAATTAGAAGCACTGGAGGTAAATTTCAGGCAAAAATTGGCATGATAAGAAACAAAGATGGCAGGGACCTAGCTGAAGAGATCAAGAGAAGGTGGTGAGACTATACAGAAGACCTGTATAGGAAGGATAATAATATCGAGGATAGTTTTGACAGTGTGGTGATTGAATTAGAACCAGACATCCTGAGGAGTGAGGTTGAATGGGCCTCAAGAAGCATTGCTAACAACAAGGCAGCAGGAGACGACGGGATCCCAGTGGAATTGTTTAAAATCTTGAAAGATGATGCTGTCAAGGTGATACATGCCATATGCCAGCAAATATGGAAAAACATAAGAATGGCTATCAGACTGGAAAAAATCAACTTATATCCCGATACCAAAAAACGGAAATGCTAAAGACTGCTCAAACTTTCATACAGTGGCCCTTATTTCTCATGCCAGTAAGGTAATGCTCAAGATCCTGCAAGGAAGACTCCAGCAATACATGGAGCAAGAATTGCCAGATGTACAAGCTAGGTTTAGAAAAGGCAAAGGAACAAGAGACCAAATTGCCAATATCCATTGGATAATGGAGAAAGGCACGGAATTTCAGAAAAACATCTATTTCTGTTTTATTGACTATTCTAAAGCCTTTGACTGTGTGGATCATAATAAATTGTGGCAAGTTCTTAATGGTATGGGCATACCAAATCATCTTGTCTCTCTCCTGAGGAATCTCTATAAGGACCAAGTAGCAACAGTAAGAACTGACCATGGAAAAACAGACTGGTTCAAGATTGGGAAAGGAGTATGGCAGGGTTGTATACTCTCACCCAACTTATTCAGCTTGCATGCGGAACACATCATGCGATGTGCAGGGCTTGACAAATGCAAGGCTGGGGTGAAAATTGCTGGAAGAAACATTAACAACCTTAGATATGCAGATGATACCCCTTTGATGGCTGAAAGTGAGGAGGAGATGAAGAGCCTTCTAATCAAGGTGAAAGAAGAAAGCGCAAAAGCTGGGTTGCAGTTAAACATAAAAAAAACACAACAAGATTATGGCAACAAGAATGGCTGACAATTGGGAAATAGAGGGAGAAAATGTGGAGGCAGTGACAGACTTTGTATTTCTAGGTGCAAAGATTATTGCAGATGCAGACTGCAGCCAGGAAATCAGGAGACGCTTACTTCTTGGGAGGAGAGCAATGTCCAATCTCGATGAAAGAGTGAAGAGTGAAGAGTAGAGACATCACACTAGCAATGAAGATTCGCATAGTTAAAGCCATAAGTATTCCCCATAGCCACCTATGGATGTGAGAGCTGGATCACAGGGAAGGCTGAGCAAAGGAAGATAGATGCTTTTGAACTGTGGTGCTGGAGGAAAGTTCTAAGAGTGCTTTGGACTGCGAGAAGATCCAATCAGTCCAAACTTCAGGAAATAAAGCCCGACTGCTCATTGGAGGGAAAGATATTAGAGACAAAGTTGAAGTACTTTGGCCACATCATGAGGAGACAGGAAAACTTAGAGAAGACAATTATGCTGGGGGAAGTGGAAGGAAAAAGGAAGAGGTGCTGACCAAGGGCAAGATGGATCGATGGCATCCTTGAACTGACTGTTTTGACTCTGAAGGAGCTGGGGGAGGTGACAGCCAACAGGGAGCTCTGGCGTGGCCTGGTCCATGAGGTCACAAAGAGTCAGAAACGATTGAATGAATGAACAACAACAACATATAGGTCACTATTCGTTAGGCTTGTGCATTTCAGCTGAACAGCAATCTGTTCTGTTATCCAAATTTTGGTGGGACCACTGATCAGTTTTTGTGGATCTCCTGAAAGTAGACACTGCCCAAAAAGCCAATTTCAGTACACAGCCAAAAAATGTGACAAGATCCAGCAATGGGGGTGGGGGTGGGACTTCCTGGGCTCCCCTTTCTGTAGTTCTTAGGGCTGTCGGGATGAAAATGGCCAAACTTGGAAAATACATCGATCACTGTTGGCCTACATTTGTGTCATCCCCTGATTTTTAGGAATTTATTTTCTTTCTAGAAATAAAAATTACCTTTAAAAATTTCTAAAAATGTATCCCTGCTGGCTCCACCCTGTAACTGCTCCAGGAGCAGCAGCAGGACACCATTCCTTCCTGCCAAATGTCAAAGATTCAGACTTCCACATCATACAGCCCACTATTCCACTTTCTTTATAAATAAAAATCAGCAAGCAACTTCTTCCAAAGCTTTTGCATTTCTTGACTTTGGAAGGTGATGTTTTGCTGGTATAATTCTTATGAATTCAAAGAATAATAACAATTACAATGTTTTCTGTCCTGATGGCAGTTGGAGAGAAATGATGGGTTCTGTTGGCTTGGTAGAGCTTCCACAGAAGCCCAATAGTTTTGTTATTTTTAGGCAAGAGCCAAATTTTTATTATTAAATGAAATTAAAAAGGCAGAGAGATTTCAAAGGATAGAGTTGGTAGAGGAAGGCTGGTATAACTGTGGTTGATGGTGTTTTGCTGGTACGATTCTTATGAATACAAATAATAATAACAAACAATAATATTTTATGTCCAGATGGAGATTGGAGTTAGGGAGAGACGATGGGTTCTGTTGGTTTTGGCATAGCTTCCATAGAAGCCCAATAGTTTTATTATTTTTAGGCAACAACCAAATTATTATTTTAAAATGAAAATAAAGAAGGCAGAGAGCACAGAGAGAAATATAATAAAACAACAGAACTTGTGATGAGATTGCAAAAGAAAAAAATTAGGTATTGATGGTAGGTGGGTAGGTAGTTTTTCTGAGAATAAGGCTTTGCTGTTTGCTGGAATTCTTATAATAATAATAAATAATAATCTTTTAAAAGTACTTTCTAAAAGAAAGGGAGGAGAGAAAAGAGAAGAAGCTAAAGGCTTTAGTAAAGGCAAAGGAGCCCCTGGTGGTACATTGGGTTAAACCGCTGAGCTGCTGACCTTGTTGACCGAAAGGTTCGAATCCGGGGAGTTGCATGAGCATCCACTGTCAGCCCCAGCTTCTGCCAACCTAGCAGTTTAAAAACGTGCAAATGTGAGTAGATCAATAGGTACCGCTCCGGCAGGAAGGTAACGGCGCTCCATGCAGTCATGCTGGCCACATTGTCTTGGAGGTATCTATGGACAACGGCGGCTCTTCAGCTTAGAAATGGAGATGAGCACCACACCCCAGAGTCAGGCATGACTAGACTTAATGTTAGGGGACAACCTTTACCTTTTAAAGGTAAAGGGTGACTTAAACCTCAGATAAACCCTAAAAGAAAAGCGATGTGCTCACTCACAAGTCCTCAAACGCCACGCACCCACTCACTTTCCAACTCCCAGTCCCTTAATAAAAAATAAAGAACATAATATAGCAAGGCAATCTGATTACAGCGACCAATCTCCTAGAGCCAGAACACAACTGAGCAATGGAGGCGCTCACCCCATTAAATAGTCACAGGTTGCGTAATACACGTTATAGCTTTCTTCTATTCTGATTGGCCCAACAGGCAGGCCTCACAAGGAAACCCCATGTGAGCATGCAGCAGCCTCTCCACATGCTGGATGATACCGAATAAAATGGAAGGTAGCCGCGACCGGCAGCTGCGTGGTCCTTTTCGGTTGAAAAAAACATGGAACAAATTGAAAGCAAACATCCAAAATGAATCTGCACACAAGACTTCTATTGGTCAATGCAATCTTTAGTTCGTTTTAGAAGTAGAGA